TGAGGTCCCGACTCCCAAGTCAATACCTTCATTAGTGACTTCATGGCAGGTCCCTCCAACTGAGCGAACAAAAGCCGCCGGGAACACAAAGTGACACATTCCAGGGATTAGGGAACACTGGCAGGTTAGCGCCATTAGAAGACGGTCAGTTCTCTTCGTGAATGTAAGGAATTTGCTTTGAAACCAGAATAAATTAAGACATTTTAGTTTAATCAATTTGACAAGAGCGCTTCTTTTTTTTACTCAGTATTTTGATGTGGTTTGAATTAAAGTTGTCATATTTAGTCAAACTACCTGTGTTTCTGTAAAGATGTTTGAAATAGTCTTGGGCACAAAATTCTAAATAAAAAACCTATATAATATATGTATATATATATAATTACATTATAATATGTAATGCATTTAGTCTGTGTTTTGTTTTCAGATGACAGTGCAGATTTATTCATCTTAACCAGCACTAGAAGGGCGTACTTTGTGGTAAACTTTAACATTTTATGTTTTATGCACATACCTGTGAGTTTGTGTAATGCTGGGAGAAAACTATGTATTTTAATAAGGTTAGGAAAAACAAAATATTTATTACTAGATAAATAAAAAAGCTTGTGCCTGACATTCCTCACAGCCTTTAGTTTCTTCAACCTGCAAGCTCAGGGAACATTTGAGGAATATTTCAGATCCCTGAAGTTCGTCTCAAGAACTTCAGGGAACCACTCACAATCAGAACTCCTCACAAGGACTTGGCTCCTGACAACAACACAGGTGACAGGCGTTTGTTTTCCTCCTTCACGACTGCGTTCATCGTTACGTCCCTGCTCGTCAGACGACACGGTGATGTCGTCAGGTCGGATCAATTTATGTCTTTCAGAGGATCCAAGTGTAAAAGGAGTGGAGCAGACGGAAAGGCTGCTGCTGTCATTCACACGACGCGCACCAGTGACACCAGTGACACCAAATTGGCCTAAATTTAAAGAACAAAGACTCTTAGGTTGTCGTCTTCGTCCAGCTTCTTGTATTTCTATTTCTGTTGTTGACATTGAGCTTCAGGAAGTTTAATATTTCAATCTTTCTTTGAAGCTCACTGTTTACAAGAGATTTTATTGAACATCTGGGGGAGTGGTGGCGCAGAGGCTAGAGAAGGTGGGCCTGTGATCAGGAGGTCACTGGTTCAACTCCCTGGACCAAAAACATCAAAACGTGGGTGGGAAAGGTGAAGCACCCACACCTGCCTCCATCCTTCATTTCCCCACTCTGGGCCCTTGAGCAAGGCTCTTAACCTCCACCAGCTGCTCCCCCGGGCGCCCTAGACAGCAGCTCCCTGCTCCACACAGACGGCTGTGGTAGCTCAGTGCTAGCATCAGGAAGGAATATATATATATATATATATATATATATATATATATGTCTATTAGGGATATATGCACCAAAAAAAGTAAAATACAGTAGAACCAGATTATGTTAAGGAAAATAATTGTGATTTTGAGATGGGTGCATAATAACAGTAAATAATCCAACATTTTAAGATGATTGTGCTAAATAACTTTTAACCAAAGCAAAGCGAGATAAAAGGAAAAAAGTATAAAATTACACATCTGAATATTTATTTACCAAAAGAAACACCTTTTGGCTTTAGCTCAGAGAATAACGAACATTAGACCTGTATTTAGTTTCCTACCCCGATGAACCCACCCATGTGCTGCTTTATTCCTACGATACTTAAAACAAGACGGAGGTATACGTTACGTCCTGCATCCCGAGTTTTATACTTGCAGTATTTAATAGATCTATTGACACAGACCAAACCGCAGAAACAAGAATAGATGGCCATGACGTTTTCTCAGCATATAAAGTGAATGAGTCTCAGATAAACTATATAAAAAATGAATATTGGGTCATTTGAAGTAAAACTATCTGCTCCTGCGTTGTTACAATTACGCAGTTTAGACAATAAGAGATAAAGTGTGCTTTGGTTGCTTTGCAAACTGTTATGTCAACTTGGGTTATTCATTTTCTGTATTCAGTAATTCTGTGTTCACACTTCCTTTCTGTGTTGCCAGCTGAGGAAATTATTTTAAACAAAAGAAAGCTAAAAGTTCTATATCAGCTCAAACAAGCACCGTATTTTAGACATGGAGAGAATAAGATATGACACAGGGAAAGTATCACGATCTGGTGGTGGACTGAACCCAACGTGCAGACAGACGCTCGGGGAACTCCAAGGTAAAATAAGAATAATGTTTATTAAATGAAAACAAAAGTCTGACGTGGCAGCAAAACTTACATACATGGAGGAAACGGAACATGACGCCTTGACAGGACAATCCACCGAGGGGAACAACAAAGAGACGCAGAATAGATAGAGACGCTAACGAGGGACTAATTACAAACCGTTTGGGAGGACAGTGAGGGACAGGTGTAAACACACGGATCACAAATACACACGATCCTTACAGAAAGTGATTAAATGTGTAAGTTGCACGAGCGCAAATGAGAAAACAGTTGAACTGTCGAGTACGATGAATTAAAAATGTATTTAAAATTTGTATTTTTATCCTTCATCATATCGACGTCTATCCATTTCTGTGGCCCAACGTTATCAGAACACGACTGTAACTCTAATCTAAACTCATTTCACACCTTAGCCCCAAACCTAAACCATAACCCAGAAATGAGGTCCCATCAGGACCGGTCTTGACGAGGCCCAAGTCTGAAGCAGACACACTCATATGATCTTTGCAGCCGACATGATGAGAACACTGTAAACTTCAGCTACTGTCAACTAAGACCACAGAAACAGCTCACGTCATGAAAAACATTCAAGGTTCTTTATTACCGTTCACATCACATGTGGTACACGAGGTGGAACAAAACTGTGTGCACGGGGTCCCTGTTACATCCAACAATAGCAAAAATATAAATTGTAAAAAATAAAGAGTAAATAAGGATCTAAAACTGGTCCTTACAAGGTGAAAGGGTCCAAACCAGAAATATACTGTAAACACACTCGTACATTTGTCTTCTTCTTCTTTCGTCTCTTCCCTCTTCAGATGTCTCCACAGCGAGTCCTCCTCCTCCATCTCCCTCTGTCCTCACTCCAACTACCTCCACGTCCTCTCTAACTATGTCCATATGTGTCCTCTTTGTCTTTTTCCTGCAGCTGCATTTCTAACATCCTTGTACCAATATACCCACTGTCCCTCCTCTGGACATGTCCAAACCACTGTCCCTCCTCTGGACATGTCCAAACCATCTCAGTGTGTCCTCTCTAACTTTACCTCCCAGTTGTTCAACCTGTGCTGTACCTCTGATGATCTCATTCCTAATCTTCTCCATCTTTGTCTCTCCTAAGGAGAACCTCAACATCTTCATTTCTGACACTTCCAGTTCTGTCTCCTGTCTTTTTGTCCATGTCTCTGTCTCCAGACCATACAACATAACTGGTCTCACAACTGTCCTGTAAACTTTTCCTTCACCATTTTGTCACAAATCACTCCTGAAACTTTTCTCCATCACTCCATCCTGCCTGGACTCTCTTCTTCACCTCTTCACCACACTCCCCATGTTCCTGGACAGTGGACCCCAAGTCCTTGAAGTCCTGCACCTTTGTGACCTCTGCTCCTTGTAGCCTCACTGTTCCATCTCCTCCCTCTCATTCACACGTGGACTCTGTCTTACTACGACTGACTTTCATTCCTCTTCTTTCAAGTGCATACCTCCACCTCTCCAAATTCTCTTCCACCTGTTCCCTGTTCTCACCACAAATCACAATGTCATCTGTAAACATCATGGTCCACAGGGATTCCTGCCTGACCTCATCTGTTGGTCGGTCCATCACCAGAGCAAACAAAAAGGGGCTCAGAGTCGATCCTTGATGCACTCCCACCTCCAACTTGAAGCTATCGGTCACTCCTAGAGCACATCTCACCACTGTCCTGCTGTCCTCATACATGTCCTGCTGTCCTCATACTTGTCCTGCTGTCCTCATACATGTCCTGTACCAGTCTAACACTCCTCTGCCACTCCAGATTTCCTCTGTCAGATGCTTTCTCTAAATCCACAAAGACACAATGGAGTTCTTCTGACCCTCTCTGTACTTCTCCATCAACATCCTCAAAGCACAGATGGATCTGTGGAGCTCTTTCTAGGCATGAAACCAAACTGCTGCTCACAGATAGTTATTTATTAATAGGCAATTTAAGCAAAATAAATAAAAATAAAACTGTGTTGTGTGCCTAAAGGCCATTTACTTTTATAATGCAAGTATTTTTACTGCCACTATTTTTGTTTCTTGACGCAAGAACCTCCTTTCAGAACAGAAATAAACCAGCAAACATGAAGAATGAGAAAGTGAACTTAGTGCCATAAGGTCCAAAGAGCTCTGCAAAGTTCCTTATTTTTGCAATTAAATATATTTTGCAGGAATAAACTGGAACGTTACTTAAGTTGAGTTAATATATGTCGAAGCCTCTCAGCTTTTAGAGGTTAGTTCGGCTGTGAGTTGCTCAGGTGTGGCTGTGGTGAGGTTCAGCTGCAGCAGCTGCTGGTGGAGCACATTGTTCACGACTTGGTGCAGTTTTCTCAGGATGTGAAGAAGACAGTCTGTCTAAACTTTGTCTCTGTTTTGACTTCAGCTCTTATTATGACCCCATGACCGTCAGAAAAAAATGTTTGGTTTTCTTATCTTGGGGGGGTCACGGTGAGCGCTGCATGATGACTAATCCAAACATCTTTGTCTTTGTGTTTTGTCTGTGTCACCTCTGAATATTTCTTGGTGACAGAATTTGTGCACACGTGATTCTGGCACATTTCACCCTAAAACTCTCTTTCACACCAGAGACTCTGCTCTAAAGAACAAAATCATTTCAAGCTTTTTAAAAACGGTTTTATTATTTTTATTTATAAAACAACAGTTTTCTGGATTGGATGAAAAGAGTTAAACATTTTTTATGCGTTTGAAATATTATGATGCCATAAAAAATATCTTTATTCATATTTTAGCTGTTTTTGTTTATGTGCATCCCTGAGACTAGAAGCTTTGGTTGTGGTTAGAAATAATGTGAACAGTGACTTAAATCAAACCAGTGATTCCCAAACTGGGAGGCCGTCTGAGTCCTGACTGTGCAGAGAACTTAAACCAGTATCTGAGTCATCATCGTTGACACTTTGGTCTTTGGCCAGACCTCTGCTCTGCTCCATCCACACGCTTCCCCCCTCCAAAGTCCCAGCCATCGTCTTATCCTCTGTCCCGCATGTCTCCTCCTCCATGTCCAAAATGTTCACTTTCTCCAGCAAATCCCTCATTTCCTTTTCCCTCGCAGCGCAAATCTGCTGGGACAGCTCTAAATCGCCCCTAATAGCCTCTAAATCCGCGCTGAGCCGCAGACCGATGTACAAACTCGCATCTAGCTGCGTTTTGATCCGCTCCTTCTCCACAAACAGCTCGTTTTGTGGCGAGTGCGTCCCCGAGCAGAAGAAAGCTGCTGCACCTCCTCCGCGCTCCGACTGGTTGCGCCTCCGCTCCTCTCTCCTCCGCAGCATCCAGCGGTGGTTCAGCTCCTCCTGGATGTGAGCTGTGATCGTTTCTATCTGAGCTTCCTGCTCCCAAAGCTCCTCTTCTAAGCTGAGCACCTCCTCGCGCTGCCGGGCGTGCACTTCCAACTTGGCCAAAGTCTCACTCAGAGACTTTTCGTCTCCTTCTGGGTTTGGGAGCGGATTTGCGTCTAAATAAGTTTTCTGCACATAATTAATCCCGTGTCTCTTAATCCTGTCCGAATGCACCTTTGCTTCACGTCTTTCGATGTCTGCATCCAGCTGTGTAATCCTCTGAAGCTGCTGTCGGATGGTATGATCCTGAGAAACCACCAGATGAACCAACGTTTCCATCCTCTCCGCGCAGGACGCGTCTCTGTGCGCCGCGCGCGTCCTCCTCCTCTTCATCTTTTCCAGCTTCCTGAAAGCTTTCCTGACCACCCGACGCTGCTTCTCGGGTGAGATGTCCCCCACAACAGGCCGTGACGTCCCCTTGGTGACACAGGGACTGTGTTTGCTGCGCACCACGCGCGCCTCTGCGCTCCGGGCGCCGTGGTTATCCAGAGACGCGTCGCTTTTCAGCAGCACGAACTTCACGTTCCTCTGCTCCTCTCCCCACGCGAGCCAAAGCCTCAAAATCTTGGTTTTATTCGGTAAAATCCGCTCGAAGCCGCCATATTTCTCCACAATGCAGAAAGACTTCGCCGTGGAAAGAGAGTTCTGCTCCTCCAGAAGAACTTGGACGATGTCCGCGCAGGTGGTGCGCTTCGACAAGCCCAGAACCAGCTTCTCCTCACGGCAGATCCACACAGATATCTTGTTCTCCTCTGGTTCTATGGTCGATTCCATGATTTCTCTTAAACTATGTTGTGAAGAAAAGAAACATTCCTAAATAAAATCTGCATGAGTGAAAAAGAGAGAGACCTCAGCTGCATCTGAGAAACTGGGCAGAGCTGCAGACTGAGAGCTCCATGAGTTTTCTATGAACCTTCCTGAGGCCCAGACAAGAAACACTTGGTCCTGCTGGGATCACGTGACCTCCGAGTCAGCGCTGATCTTGAGCCCATGAAGGATGGAGGCAGGTCTTCAGAGTTGATCCACAGCTATAGTTTAGCATTATATATATATATA